CGTGAACTATCATCAGACAATTTTCAATTATCTTTAACCCTTCGAGTCCTGACCACGGCTTCACCGGTGGTAGAAAAAAATGATGTAATGCCCAGCCACCGGTTGAACAGTGGTAGAGAAAAATGACTAACGTCCCAGCCACCGGTTGAACGGTGGGTAGACACTTGTAACTATTTTTATATCTACCGTGAAACATTATATACCAATTATTTGTGAATTTTGACTCAGGAGCTCAGGCAGAAGGTTTAAAATTGTTTAGGAACACAGAGCTCAAAGGGTTAAAAAAAGATGAAATATGAAATAGTCATATTGTATTTGTATATTAAAAAGCGACGGAAATATTAAACAACAATAAATAGTAAAATAAGTTCGAATTTTGAGAGCGTATTATGAGTTGTATCAGCGAAGACAGAAGACATGTTTCTCAGTGTGTCGACGTCATCCACAAGAACGTTGACGTCATCCGTAGAGAACGTCGACACCATCCACAGAGAACGGTGACGTTATCCAGACAGAACGTTGTCGTAGACTGGATTATCGAAGTAGTATTGATCTTCATGTTCTGCTTCAGATCTCTTAGTCCTGTAAATAATAATAAAAAGAAAAGTTCAGAGTTTTTGTTATACTCGGAACAGACGATCTACATAATGAAAATATAATGAAAACTTCAACCTTTATACATGACATTCATAGACATTGACTGACACAGTAGCAAGACAACACATGGTGGTAGGGCCGGGTTTAGACCTTAAGAGGCCCTTGTGATAATAGAATTCCTCTTTATTACATATATTTGCCCCTCCCCGCGTATCTATAAAAAAATATATATATTTAGATTATGCTTTTTTGGTCTAAATTTTTACAAATTAGTTCAAAGTAGCGTCATTAAATCTTAACAATATCAAATATCCTCTATGTCTTTATTTTTTAAAACTTTTATCAGGGGCCAAAGACTAGAGGATCCTTGAGGGCTACTCTAGTTTTGGGTCCCCTAGGCTGCAGCCCATACGAGCCTCATATGTACATCCTAACCATTAATTTAGAATAACGGTCGCCAATCTTTGAACTTCATGGACCACTAAATGTAAAATTTTAAATTTGATGGGCCCTAATATAAATTTAGAAAACACATAATCGGAAAACTTTTATTTTATTAATATGAAATGCACCCATTGAAGGTAACAAAGTTATGGTGTAATTATTTAAATAAAACAAATTGAAAATTTGAAGTTTGCAAGTCATGTTAAGTTATACAAGGTAACTCAAAAAGTTCTAAAAAAGTTCTTTTTAAAGGAAAAAAAGAAAACGCTTCACAGTATGTGTAACTTATATTTAGTCTTCGAAGTAATCGCCATCGGCATCCAGCACCTTCTGCCAACGTGTCTCCAGCTGTTCAATACCCTTGCGGTAGAATTTGGGGGGTTTTGACGCAAAGAAGTCCATGAGGGCTTTGCGCAAGTCTGCTTCATTGGTGAAGGATTTCCCACGAAGATGATTATCCAGGGAGTGGAAGAGGTGGTAATCGGATGGCGCAAGGTCAGGTGAATAAGGTGGATGGCACAAAGTCTCCCACCCAAGTTGCTGTATGGTATCCCTGACCACTCACGCAACATGCGGCCTGGCGTTGTCATGGAGGAAAAGAAAACATTTGCGATTCACCAGTGCTGGCTCCTTCTGGCGCAATGCCTGTTGCACACGTTTCAATTCTGTGAGTATAGGTCTCCAGTGACTGTTTGGCCCGTTGGTAGCAGTTCATAATGAACCACTTGACGACCTGTCCATCAGACACAATGCATAATCTTGCGTGGGTGCATAGACGGTCTTGTGGTATGAGGGACAGCATCCTGAGGAGACTACCAATGTCTGGAACGCTTTGGAGTTTCGTACAGAACCCACTTTTCATCACTGGTAAGCACTCAATTGAATAAGAAATGCGGTACGGTGGCGAGAAAGCAGCGATACGCAGGCTGCCACTCGTTGTCCCTTGTGGACCTCCAGTAGCGTTTGCTGAACTCACTTGCTCAGTTTGTACGTCTTACCTAGGTGGTGCAGGTGAAGTCTAACTGTTTCATCGGAAACGTTGAACTGTCTTGCAAGTTCACCACACGTTAGACTACTGTCCTCTTCAATGGCTGCCTTCAGGACTCCGTCATTCAAGACCTGTGGTCGTCCACTGCGAGGCTCATCATGGAGAGATAAATCTCCCGACTTGAATTTTCGAAACTAACGCCTTGCGGTACGTTCATCCACAGCACTATCCCCAAATGCTTGACATATGCGGCGACTTGATGCAGCTGCTGATAAGCCCACTTTGAAGTCGTAAAGCAAACAGCCCCGAACGAGATCTCTAGACACTTCCATCCTTCTCACAGCTGTCCGGCTTATGACTGATGGCCGGGCACGGTGCGCGTGTTTTTTATAACGTATGATGTTCCTACTTCCGGCTGTCCGAATTTAAAAACAATTGCTACACGCATTTCGTATATATTTCAACTTCATTCAATGACTAATCAAAAAACGGACAGAACTTTTTTGGTTACCTTGTACTATGAATGGATGATGTCACATTTGTGTACTTGCGTACTCGTGCTTATTTCGAGATTACATAAGGTCTTCAACATATATACCATCCATAATACGTTTTGTTACTCGTCATTTTTTAATCTGAAGCTTCATAAAATTGAAATAATGTCCCAATTTTTCTACGAACCATCAAACATCTTACACGGACCACCAGTGGTCCGTGGACCACCGTTTGGCGACCACTGATTTAGAAGATATTTCACTGTCATTTTCTATATTTCAATAAAATTACATATTCACTCATTACTACGTAACATAGGTCACATTCAAATTATATTAAGACCTAAAGGCCACTCCTTCTGTTTAGAGAGCGTGGGCTGTAAATACTTAACATATATTGTATCCGATAGGTTCAAGAGAAAGTCCGAATTTTCCCGACTCAACATTGAGAAAACATATTAATGATAGAACACAGACCACTGATAGCTATGTAAGAGATGTTTAACTGAGTCCTGGGTATGACGATAGACTACATCCGGCAGCAAGGCCTCTGATCAGTTTTCGAGCACCATGGAACCACCTCTTAATTGCTGTTGTTCGCAAGTCCAGCCTGACCCTGGTGGTAGCACGTATTACCGGCAATACATATTTATATATAAAAATAATTATGAACAATACATAAATCAACATGAAATAACTCTTTTATGAATTAATCCATATAATATCCTACAATTTCTTAAGGAAATCAAACTGTATTCCAAAATATAACGGTCCTGGGTATGACGATAACAAAGGCGGTTTTGAGGAGCGTGGAACCACCTCTTTAATGCTGTTGTTTCCAGGTCCATCCTGATCCGGAGTGGTAGCACCAGTTAGGGTCCCAGCTGTGGGCAAATAGTTAACCCCAAAACAGGATTCAAAATACAATGAAAGTATAAAAATAGATGTTTATAGTAAAATTATCAGCAATGCATTTTTGAAAAAAATTACCAGCAATACATAACAAAAATATATTACCGGCAATAAATTTTTGAAAAAAAAATATATTACCATTAATACATTTGACTCTCGACGAAAACCCTCTTTACAAAAACACGTCAATGAAACCTGATCTATAAACTGATTTCTTACAAAGAATACATGTTCTATTCATACGAACCTATTATAAAATATCTTAAATAACCCATTAAGGTGTTGATATGCTGTAAAACAAAATAAACCAAACCAAACCATAATATAACTTCAACAAAACTACAACATAAAACACACATACCACCGCCTCTAGTAATTATCATCACGCAAACATGTATATACTCAAAAGATAATAAAATCAAGACCGAGGACAATAATCCACATGCAAATAATGTAAATAATTATTTCGTTTATTTATTTTATGACACATCTATCCCCCTCCCCTCCCCGTCACGCCTCCTAATATTGATCTCCTAAAAGTTTCAAGTATAATACAGATCGGAGCACTACACTAAAATCAGAATGAGGCAGTTGAAATTTCTGGACTGCATAATAAGAAAAGAGGGTCTGGCAAATTTAACACTCAAAGGACATAGTGAAGGCAAGAAGAGCAGCAGGGGGCGACGGTTACGCGACTTAATTAGTTTATGCGAATGCATGGCAGAACTGGGACAATGAAATATGGTAAAGAGTCAAACGTTGCTTAGAGGTACAAGAGACAGGAAATTGTGAAGAGCCATGATCGCCTACACCCTGAAGGATCACGGCACACACACACAAAAAAGTGTTTCACTGTATAAATCAGTGGTTTTTGTTAAATACTCTCTTATAGGAATACTGAAAGCGCAATACACTCTACGGATAGGTATGTCTCATTAATAGATCCGTAGTTAATAAGATAACTTTATGATGACCAATTTATAGATTATTATCTATGTCTATTTCTTTCTAGCTATCTACTTCTTTCTATCTCTCTATGTCTATGTTTTTCTATCTATCTATCTATCTATCTATCTATCTATCTATCTATCTATCTATCTATCTATCTATGTTTGCTTCTATCTGTCTCTATGTCTATTTCTGTCGATGTCTATTTCTTTCTTTCTATGTATCTATCTATATCTATTTCTTTCTTTCTCTCTATATATGTCTATTTCTATCTATCTCTATCTATGTATTTCTTTCTACCTATGCCTATCTATTTATGTCTATTTCTTTTTATCTATCTATTTGTGTCTATTTTCCTTGTTTCTTTCTATCTACCCTGTCTATCTAATGCATTATGTGGACGAATTCATATCAGCATCTGGTTACATACCATTTTACAGAACAAGAGATACAAGTTCTTTGATCACGCTATCCCTGATCCTCTTTAGTCTAGCCACGCGGAAGATAAAATTGAAATATTTTTTATCGCTTTAAACGGTTGCAATATCAAATTTTATGAACCCTGCTTCTTGATGACTCCTATAGCATTTATTATCCCCGATTATTGATAATCATGTCTAGGGTGAGGGTAATGTGTTGGCGTCTTGCACTCGTGCGTGTTTGCATTGTACGCCATGTAGAAAGAGGCTGGCTCGTGAAGGTAGTCGTTTGTTGAATGGGTTAGTATAAAATGTGAAAGAACAGCTTTGTTGGACGTTCGGCAGTTGAAAGAAAGAAAGAAAGAAAGACAAAAGAAAGGAAGAAAGAAAGAAAGAAAGAAAATAAAGAAAGAAAGAAAGAAACAAATAAAATAAAGAAAGAAAGAACAAAAACGAGAGCAACAAGAAATGATAGTATAAACGAATATAGAAATTAAATAATATAGGATAAGAAAGAAAGAAAAAACAAAGACAGAGATAGAGAGAGGAAGAGAAATAGAGCAATAAAGAAGAAAAGAGGAAATGAGTAGAGAATAGGAAATTCCAGAAGCTAAAAGAGAGAGAAAGAAAAAGGAAAGAATGAAAGAAAGCACTAAATATATATATATATATATATATATATATATATATATATATATATATATATGTGTGTGTGTGTGTGTGTGTATGTATATATATATATATATATATATATATAAAATATATATATAAAATATATATATATATATATATATATATATATATATATTATTTATATATTATATATGCGTGGTACTTATTAAAGCGCTCACTGAATATCAGTGATAGAGCTAACATATTTAGTTGGATTGATGTGAGTTTGTGACCCTGGGTTTCACGCTATTTGTGATCGTCAGCAAATACATACACACACACACACATATATATATATATATATATATATATATATATATATATATATATATATATATAACTACACATTTCCTGTGATTGCCCTCGAAAGATTATATCAACTCTAAGCTTATCTTAACGTAAACAAATGAAATCATATATTATGAAATGGACTAAGTCCGACAATTACTTTAATATATCTTCTGTTTATACATTATCTTTATAGATACAAGATAAGTAAAGCTCTGTTTATAATAAACAGTAATAACAACATTTACCGTCTTGGATGTCCGAGAAATATATATATATATATATATATATATATGAGATAACAATATATAATATTTTATATATCCCGAACAGTTTTAGAGGAGATAAATATAACAAAGTGGGAAAAGTTTTTGCGTGAAGCGTTTCATCTTTGAGGACTTCATTGGATTGTTTACGCTGATGCGACTACACATGTGCACGAACGAAAGGGAGAGGCTGAGAATTTAAAATTTAAAATAATATTTTATTTAATCTGCCTTGAGTATATAATCTATCTGATTTCACTTAGATTCCACTTTTTGATTATGTTTCCATCGCTTTTGTTATTAAATATCCCCCATAGAAGATCTATAAAGAAACGTGAAACGCTGTGCGAACCTGGACGCAAATTTACTGTGGATGATCGAGCAATTAAAGCACTTTCTCAACATTTTCGTCTTAGTAAATTGTTTTCTCTTTTCATTAGAATAGCATTTTTTAAATGAAAATTATGGTTAGCCTCGTTACGGTGGGTAACTAATGCATTTAATGTGTTGTTTTGTAAAAGATTCCTTTTGTATTCAGTTCAGATAATCTTTGATTTAAATTCTTTGAGGTTTTATTATCATAGGTAATAAAGGAAATTCATCCTTCAAGTTTTACCTCATTATTTTGTTTTGTATTAATTAATTCTTTTATTGCTTTAGACGCAATTGTGGCAAATTTTATGTTGGGTTCACATAAATTGTTTTCAATTTAGGATATTTAATAACAAAAATGTTAGATATTTAATGTGGTGGAAACATAAACAAAAAGAATCTAAATTAAATCGGCGAGATATATATATATATATATATATATATATATATATATATATGATCTAGCCATTTCATTTAGATTATATATATATATATATATATATATATATATATATATATATATATATATATATATATATGATGATACTTTTTTGCCTCTTTAATTATGAGGTTGAAGCTGACTCATTTCTTACTTCACTACACTATGTTCACTCCACGCTTAAGTTTGCCGTTGAAAAGGAGTCAAAATGCTATCTCTCCTTTTGGATGTCCTTGTTCACAAGACTATTTTTTTGACTTCTGTCTTTATACTATTTTGGGCCTCTATACATGGGACTCTTATATTTTATTAAGATATATATAGGGCTCTCATGATTCGTTCGGAATGAAGAACATATGTAAAAACTATTCGCTCAGAACTCCTCGATTCATTTTTTTCAATAGAATATATTTAAAGTATTATTTTCCTGTTATTTTGACTTAAAACATATAACAGTCCATTTTTATGGTAAAATTGAATTGAACATCTTCATTGTACAAAGTAAACGCAGAAACATGCGTAGTGCTTGGGCTTTGTTCTTTTTATTAGGGGCTGTGGCTGGGGTCTTAAAAGTGGCTTATGCCAAGTCTGGGGGCATCATAACAGTTCTGTTTTTAGAAAATGTTTTAAACTCGTTACACATATTTTATACAACATTTTTAATGGTTGTATCGATCTATGCTTAATTAAAAACGGTTATTGTACGTATGAAAGAAAATTTACGCTGGGTGTATGGTCACAAATGCTATTTTTCAATAAATGATTTTAAAAGGGTCTGAAATGTTTCTAAAGTGTTTAGGGTGAAAGTTTAAGGCATATGAGGTTTTAACAATCAAAATAGGTGCTTATAAGCACTTTTAGTTAGGGGGTTACAAGTATCCGCGGATTCTAACTAATCGCGGCCGGTTCTGGTCCCTAACCCCCGCGAATCCGAGGGACTCACTGTATTTTGCTCTGTTCACTCCACGCTTAAGTTTACCGTTGAAAAGGAGTCAAAATGCTATCTCTCCTTTTTGGATGTCCTTGTTCACAAGACTCAAGTTTTTGACTTCTGTCTTTAGGAAGGCTACTATTTTGGGCCTCTATACACGCTGGGACTCTTATATTTTATTAAGACCCTTACCCATAGGGCTCTCATGATTCGTTCGGAATTTTTTCTACGCGAGGAGATTTTTCCAAAGATGGATATACCTTAGATGTTTTCGATGGTGTTATTCTTGTTGTTATCGATATTTTTTATAAGAATAAGCCGCACATAATTAAAAACATGTCCTGTTTATTTGCGTCTTTCTTTCATTCGTTCAGAGGGCGAGTCTTTGGCTAGGCGAATTTCACTTGCAATCGGCAGGTGGTATTTTTCTGTTGAGTTTCAAGTAATATTTGTTACTCGACCTATTCTTTCTTCCATTCGCGAAGGTGCTGTTATTTATAATTAAGAATGTAGTTGTGATATCGACTACATAGGGAGGTATTCCCAACGTTTGGATTTTAGAATTAAACAACATTTGTCTCCTAGAATTTTGAATCCGAGCTCTAGTCCATTGGTGAATACATCCGGGTCATCGATCGCTCAACATGTTATTAATCGCAGGAGCTGTGTTACAGGCTTTAGTGTTGGCCTTTTTTCAATTTTGTCTCGTTCACACTCATTATATCATCTCAAGGTCCTGGAGTCCCTGTATATCAGATTCCACAAGCTTGTAAATAGAGGGATTGCTTACTGGGTCTGAATATTATTAGTTTCTAGTTTCCTTAACCCTAGAACATTAACCATCAGTTAAAGTTACACCACTACTAACCATGGGTATATCATACCCAATTTTGAAAATATCAAAAAAATATTAAATATAAATCTTTATCTGAAATATCTTACATGCAGGCACTTCAAACTTTGTACTTTGAGTTAAAATTAGAAACTGAAAAACATATTATTTAGGTAAGAAAATCAGGTACTGAAAATTGTAATTAAAAATAGGAATATTTGCGCTGGGTACTATATACCCATGGTTAGTGTTCTAGGGTTAAATATATATTTTCTCCCCCTTGATAAGCTAGGACGAAAACGATTTTTTTATAATTTACATCAATATGCCTTATAATTTGAATAAGAAATTACGTTTGTTTCTTACTGATATATATATATATATATATATATATATATATATATATATATATATATATATATATATATATATATATTAATTGAGAACATTCACCTTTTTCACTTAAAAGGAGATTTTTATAGCGTTTTCTTGGGCACATATAATTTTTAATACTATTGTTCATCCAATACAAGGCTGGAGAGGCACTCAAGGAAAAGGTTATTGAATAAGGATGCTGAAAGGGGATACAGGGGAAGTAAGAGGTGCATATTACGAGGATATGTAGGATAAATAAAGGTTGACTCCCGACCTGAAGAAGTTAATATTGTTGTAATCGAGGAGTATCCTTTCTGGAGTTTGTTCCACAACATAACAGTTCAGTGGAATTTCCTCCTGACCAATAGAATACGAAGGGAATGAGGATGTATCGACACTGCGTACATGGAGGTGACCATGTGTAAATGATATTAATGATTTACCTTAGAAAACTTTCAGATCTTTAGTAAATGCAGTAAGAATGCAGGTAAAATGCTCGGTTCCCTCGATCGCTCCAGTATGTACCTGAGTCATCCTGCGATCTGTATGTACCTGAGTCATCCTGCGATCTGTATGTACCTGAGTCATCCTGAGTCATCCTGCGATCTGTATGTACCTGAGTCATCCTGCGATCTGTATATACCTGAGTCATCCTGCGATCTGTATGTACCTGAGTCATCCTGAGTCATCCTGCGATCTGTATGTACCTGAGTCATCCTGAGTCATCCTGCGATCTGTATGTACCTGAGTCATCCTGAGTCATCCTGCGATCTGTATGTACCTGAGTCATCCTGCGATCTGTATGTACCTGAGTCATCCTGAGTCATCCTGCGATCTGTATGTACCTGAGTCACCCTGCGATCTGTATGTACCTGAGTCATCCTGAGTCATCCTGCGATCTGTATGTACCTGAGTCATCCTGCGATCTGTATGTACCTGAGTCATCCTGAGTCATCCTGCGATCTGTATGTACCTGAGTCATCCTGCGATCTGTATGTACCTGAGTCATCCTGCGATCTGTATGTACCTGTCATCCTGTGATCTGTATGTACCTGAGTCATCCTACCTTTACAAGAGGTAGATCAAGCCAAAAATGGAGTACTGTTGTCATATTTGAGCGGAAGCTGTCCAGACTTCAATCTCCAACCTTGATTATCCATAAACGTCTCTGAGCCCCTGTGGATGACGAATTATTCTCCATCCTTCAACTTCTCCCCCACAGGCAGATTGTGGCAAACCTCACGCTGCTCTACCGCAGGAAAGTTTTCGGACGAACTACATTTCCTGGGCCCACCAAATCTAACCTTCACAGCAAGAACACGACACGCCACTGACATAGCAGCAACCCCCCCCGTATTACATCGGTGATAAGTTCCACTCGAGCAGCTTCTTCCCACGAACCACTGCTCTATGGAACCGGCTCCCAACAGGATGTTTCCCCGATCACTACAATCTTAACCTGTTCAAGGCTAGGGTTAACCGTCATCTTATACTCCTATGCAAACAAATGGTATCCTAACGTAACCCTCTACCCTCTACCTCGAGTGGCACTCGAGCCTTGCAAAGAGTGAAACTTACTGTAAAAAAATACAAGTGTATGGGTGTACCTCCAAATATCTTGATGACCAGTGTGTGGCAGCTGATATCTTCTCTGGCGGGCAAGTCTAGGGTTATAGCAATTGTTTATTGCTATATTTTTTTTTACTTTATTAGGGGCTCAGTGGGGAAAAGACTGGCTATTATCATTCAATAGGCCCAAAACAAAATTCTTAACATTCATCACCGGCAAGCAGATCCTAAACCTGCACCAATCCTGATGAGTGGCCATACCCTCGAAGAGACTACTAGCCACAAAGGTCTACTAGGGGCTAAAGCTCACTTTCAACCTCATATGGAACACGTATATTTGTGCCACCGCAAAAGATGCTGCAAGAATGGGCGGTTATTTACATCGTTCCTGAAAATACCAGACTCCTGCTGCCATGATCCATCTTTACAAAAGTCAGACCAAGAATGGAATATTGTTACCACATCTGGGCTGGTGCTACGACATTTGGGCTGCTGCTACCCAATCTTCGCTGTTCAGCTTCGACAGAGTTCAAAAGTGCTTACGTGGCCTTGTGAGTGATGAATTATCTTCCACCCTGCAACCCTTATTTCCCGAACGAAACGTCGTCAGCCTTTCCCTGCTATATCGCTCTTCTTATGGCAGATGTTCGGATAAGTTGAACTCCTTAGTCCCACCAACTCGGACCTTCACAGCTAGGACCCGCCATGCCGTATCATGATGGCAAAATATCCTCATTCCATCTGTGCTCCTTTGATAAAAATCAGCTTCTTCCCCAGAACTGTTACTTTGTGAAACAGACTCCCGAGAGAATACTTCACTGACAACTAGAATCTTTGTCTCTTTAAGTCCAGGGTCAACCGATATCTATCCTATTCTTCCTCATAAATAATCTCTTACTGTCACCACAATCTCACATAGTAAAACTCTACCTTGAGTAGCCGATGGGCCTTGTATTGAGAGAACTATCAGTAAATAAAAAGAAAAAAAAACAACCACTTATACAAATATAGACCTGCATTATTATAGTGAGGGTGGGGCACCTCAAGGTGGTGTAATGGTTAGCAAGCTTGTCTCGCTAGAACAATTAGGACTGGGTGCTCCATACTTTCGGTATTGTGCCACATCTAAGCTACGCTTGGAAAATCACTATTATAGTGTAGGTGGCCAAATTAAGAGATTTTACTTTTAAAGGAATATATACAATAAATTAAGTTTCTCTATATAATAAACACTGTAACTTTTTTTGTTTCTCTGTCCATAACACTAGACTTGCCCGTATTGATTGCAATCGGAAATGACTGCTAAAAATCCACCCTCCCCGAAATTAATAGATAAATCTTGTATGTGCATTATGTGACTTCTTCTTTGTTAATACAAATGGAAAATTGTTGGCCTTGCCCATACATTTTCTTTGTCGTGAGATCAGAAGGCTGTAACCACTCGACTGTATCCCGTTTGCGTCTGAACACTGATTCTTTTTACTGTCTTATAATTGCTTTGCTTTGTCTTGCATTGTATTACATTGTTCATTTCTTGTATTACAGTGGGCTCCAGCCTATTCGCTTTTCAGCATTTGCGGCTTCACACATTCGCGGATTTTTCTTTAGAACATATGTACTTATTATTCGCGGAAACCCCGAATATTCGCGTGTTTTTCTGAAGAACATATGTAAAAACTATTCGCTCAGAACTCCCTCGATTCGCGTATTTTTTTCAATAGAATATATTTAAAGTATTATTTTCCTGTTATTTAAGTGACTTAAAACATATAACAGTCCATTTTTATGGTAAAAATTGGCAGAATTGAACATCTTCATTGTACAAAAGTAAACGCAGAAACATGCGTAGTGCTTGGGCTTTGTTCTTTTTATTAGGGGCTGTGGCTGGGGTCTTAAAAGTGGCTTATGCCAAGTCTGGGGGCATCATAACAGTTCTGTTTTTAGAAAATGTTTTAAACTCGTTACACATATTTTATACAACATTTTTAATGGTTGTATCGATCTATGCTTAATTAAAAACGGTTATTGTACGTATGAAAGAAAATTTACGCTGGGTGTATGGTCACAAATGCTATTTTTCAATAAATGATTTTAAAAGGGTCTGAAATGTTTCTAAAGTGTTTAGGGTGAAAGTTTAAGGCATATGAGGTTTTAACAATCAAAATAGGTGCTTATAAGCACTTTTAGTTAGGGGGTTACAAGTATCCGCGGATTCTAACTAATCGCGGCCGGTTCTGGTCCCTAACCCCCGCGAATCCGAGGGACTCACTGTATTTTGCTCTGTTCTTATTAATTTGTATATTGTTCAATTCCACTTAAAAATGCCCGCTTATTCAACAGCCCATCGAGTCATAGTGATTTCTTAATCATAGCTTTGATGCGGCACCAGGTCGAAAGTATGGAGGCACCCACTGGATAAGATTCCGTCGAGTGATGATTAAACAATTGCTCAAAGTTCTTAATAATGACAAAATCTGTTGTCCTGATAGTAGTAGGAAGGCATGGCACCACTCAAAATGAACAAACGTAACAAAGGAATTTTAAAAGTCTAAAAAACAAAATTATAAGAAGGAAAAATAATTCCTACATCAAATTGAGTAATTTAGTATATGAATTTAATTGCCAGTGTGCTGCTGGTTATGTGGGGCGTACAACCTTGCATTTGGAAACTAGAATTAATCAGCACGTACCTTCCAAAATACGACTTGGTAAGATAGATAGAATATGCTATCTTCCCCCCATGAATATGAAATCGGCTATTGCTCAACATTTAGTTGAGAATATAGCTTGTGCCAAGTTGTATAAAAAAGAGTGGTTTAGAATTATTCATACAGCCGATTCCAATAATCATTTGAAGATTTTGGAATCGGTCTGTATAGGATTACGAAAACCTTCTCTCTGCCGGCAGAAAGAATTTATAAGGTCTCTGAATCTGTTGGGGGATATTTTATTTTAACTGTCCTCGCTAATTAATTTATTTACACGATCCTTCCCTCGTTACAAGTATATATACTTGTTCGTTATTTTAGTGTGTTTCCCCCCTTTTTTGCTCTTCAATATCGCTATTATTCATTTCGCTAATCCAACGTTTGTCTCCTGATGAGATGTTGGCTGAAAAGGGCCCTAGAGACTTTTAAAATTAAAATCAATGGTTTCCTTGTTTTTAAAACTATTTATATATATATATATATATATATATATATATATATATATATATATATGTGTGTGTGTGTGTGTGTGTGGTTATATGTATACGTCGTTATGTGTATATCTGGTTATATGTATATGTGGTTATCATAACAATTAAATATTTTCTTTTTATCATTTTAATTTTTTGCCTTGATAAAGTCCCTCGGAGGACGAAACGCGTCGGCTATAAGTTTTCCTTTCATCTTTATTTATATGTGGTTTTATTTATATATATATATATATATATATATATATATATGTGTGTGTGTGTGTGTGTGTGTGTGTGTGTGTGTGTGTGGTTATATGTATATGTCGTTATATGTATATCTGGTTATATGTATATGTGATTATCATAACAATTGAATATTTTCATTCTATTATTTTCATTTTTGCCTTGATAAAGTCATTCAGAGGACGAAACGCGTCGGCTAAGATAAGTTTTCTTTTTGTCTTTGTACATTTTATCCTTTTGCAGATATATTCTAAGATTTTTACACATAACCACGTATAAATCAGCTATTTATTTAGTTTTTAAAATAATCCTCGTATTTCAAACTGGTCTGTGGATTTTCCCTGAATTTCCTAAGTATTTTATAAAATAAACATGGTTAATCGGATAGCTCCTTTTAAAAACCACTTACTTTGTGCAGAAATAATCTTTTAGTGGTCGATCGAAATCACAATAGTTAACATCCTTCCAACAACAGAAGCAAACAACAATGATGACAGCGATGATGAGGATAATTGACCCCCACAGGCGGATTTGGTCCTTGCTGTAATGAAAGAAAAATATTAGTTTCAGCTCAATTTTAAAAGTAGATTTTTGAAGTATCCTTGGATTCAGAAGCAAGGACATGTGTGTGTGTAGCCTGACGGTTATCGATGTAGTAAAGAGAGACGGCGTGCTGAGTTCAGATCCTGGCCGATTCTGTTACATCCACGTTCACACTATTCGCCTTGGAAAAGACATGACTCCATCTGTCCCCTTAGCCATAGGTTAAATAGCAAAGTAAACCGGAATTCTTTAGCTTTGGGTGGAAGTCAGTCTAAGAGAAATACTTTTCTAAATTCAAGACCGTGGAGAATGCAACGAGAAAACTACTCCGCTATCTTTCCGAGAATGTATGACAGTTGACAAATACAAAAAGATGAATTTCTTGAAAGCTACGATGATCAACATCCTGAAGGGGCGCGACATTATAAAAAAAAATAGTTGCGTTCTTGACAACTTAGTTTGGCACAAGGTACAAGTATGGGGCGCCCAATGGAGATGGAACTAAGTTTGTTCAAGCAGACACAAGGGGTTACTGAGTGTGAAAGAATTAGAAATAAGAGACATTATTAGGGATCGAGAACAGAGTTATCAAGAAGACAGTAGATAACGATTGACATTGCATTTAAATTTTTGAAGATCAAAGTTGGCTGGAAATCATGGGACCGGAAGAGAGTTCCACAAGCGAGAAATGCGAGAAAATAAATTGTTAGCATAGAACTTAAGGTTATGTCTAACCAGTTCATTTGTTAATTGATGAGACCTCACCGCCAATCTAGTACTGCGCTTAAAGTTTAGATAACGTAGCGAAGAATTCGTCTGAACAATTACCATGAAAGAATTTATAGAAAAAGGCACAGGGAAGCTACAATACGGCAATGGGAAAGTGACTGAAGCCGAAACGCCAGATTAGGACCAATAATATTGCTGATATAATGTCAGCTTGCCAGGCTACATTATATTTCGCAATCGTGTTTCTGTCCACGGACAGTGCACAGCAAATTTTAGGGATGTTTGATTCCGGGAATTTGCAACAAAAAGGAGTGGTCGAGGGAATATCGATGCTAGTGCTTGCGGGGTCCGGGCAATTTCTGATCTTAGACCACATGGACACACCTCACTTTAAAAAGTCATGAGCCCTACCCCGCCACCGCTGGGCGTGTAAATAAACAGTTTGGCCGAACTCACCAGTGCACGTTTTTGTTATCATAATTGTTTGCACTCATTTGCTAGCAGGGTCTGATCATTTAATGAACTGTCGAACGTAATAAAAAGACTTCCAGATCGACAACCTTATCGCCCTTGTCTGGTTGATCTACATGCACATAGCAATAATAAATGAATTGTTGTTTTTAATATAGTCTTTAATCTTTAACAATAAAGATAAAGACTATATTACAAGTTATAACTTTCCACGTTAATGATGATTACTACCGTGTTATTAATTGCGGTCACTCAGTACAAAATGGACACCTCAATAAGAGCTTAACATTATGATACACTCTGAATTAGATCTAACATATGGAAAAAAACACAATGGAAAAATATCTTATGTTCTCACAATAAAGAAGTGCTAACATTATAAAATAAAATAAAAATAAGATTAAGTACTAAAAAAAATTATAGAAATAAGAGGTGTTTTCTTCTTTCAATTATCAATTGATAATCAATTATCAATTATTTGTCGAAAGAATTCATTAGAATTCATTATTTCATTTTACTTAATAAAAGATAATAATAATCTAATTTAATGATTAATTAGCTTTTATTTAAAATAAATAAATAAATAAGCGCAGGACCAGTGCAAGGGTCTCGTGTCCTCCCGCCCCCGCCATCGAATCTGCGATACGCCCCCCCCGACTACATCGCAATTTTCAATTCATATAAAATAGAAATTTTATTGTAACCTAATTATATACAATAATGGATCATATGCAATACAGATGAACAATTAACCCTTTCAGCCTTGCCTTCTTGAACAATTTTAACACTTCTGTCTGAACTTCTGGGTGAAAATTCGCAAATAATTGGTATGTAATGTTCCACGGTAGATATAATAATGGTTACAAGTGTTTACCCTCCGTTCAACCGGTGACTGGGCATTAAATCATTTTTCTCTACCACCGGTAAAGCCGTGGTCAGGGTTCAAAGGGTTAAACTGTAAAAACTGAAAATAAATACAATGTATCTAAATACAAATTAGAGACATACCATAATAGATCATTCAATCTGAAATAATACGACATTGTTTTGCGGCAATTTTAACATCTACTCGAGATTTCTCTTGCCAAGTAGTTGAAGAATTTTAATTCATTCAACATTATGTATAAAAAAATAGTGCATTTTCTATAGTGTTTTCTTTCGAGATTTAACATGAACAAAACAAATTCACAGATTTGGACGAAAAAGAAAAAAAAAACAGCACTCAGAATGTCGTGAAAATCCGATGTGATGTCAACGAATACTCGTGATGTCAACGAATACTCGTTGTCACTTTTGAAATGTTCGTTGTAGTAGAGACTTTGTAACCGCAGATTACAACTATAGTACGCCGTTGAACTATGCTGGCGTCAGACGCCTTCGAATATCACTTGCACTAACATAGCGATTTTCCAAGCGCAGCTTAGACGTGGCACAAGGCCGAAAGTAGGGGGCATCCCAGTGAGGATCGAACTCACTACTCAGTCGTAATTGTTCTAGCGAGACAAGCTTGCTAACCATTACACCGCCTCGAGGTGCCCCACTTGCACTAATATCACTTGCTCGATAATACTCGCTCGTAAAGTAACCACCAAATGGTGATCTGAATAGAGAAATAGTATAGTGAATACGGTAGAGAATAGTGGTTCGTATAGTAATAGAGGACATATTAGAAATGGTGATCCGGTTAGTAATAGAGGATAGAATAGAAATAGCGATCCGTAGTAATAGAGGACAGACTAGAACGGTGATCGTTTGTCGTCACGATATTTATGCTTTTCCTCTATGGTCACGTGATCCACTTAATCCAATAATGGGATCGCCTGTGTTTTCTCACTGACGATCTATGTTCAAACTCGGCAGCGACAATTTATTCCTATATAACAATAACAAAAATAAGGCATGAAAATTTTCGATTATAAAAGTCAATTACGGAAACGGACGGCCATTTTTGAGGAGTAGACAACTCTTAAATTTCTCATACAATTTATCATGAAATAAAAAAGCAATAAATAAAAAAATAAAAACAATTATAGTTCAAGTGGAAGGTTCAGCCTAATTATTTTCTTTATAATGACGATTATCGCTTATTGTTTACAAATTAGTGAAGTCATTTGGTACATAATTGACAATTTTTATTCTCTAACCATTTTTTCCCAACGAGCGATGTCATAAAACAGTTTCTGGTATACCATGACGTTTCTTTACGTATAACTATTTTCTTTCTTCTCTTGTATTTCCGACGTGTTGCCATTGTCACATTTTTATCCGAAATGATTCATATTGGGGTTGGGGTGGGGATAGCACACATTTATGTTTTATGGCGTCATCTGCAAAGCGGAGGAAGAAAATGTCAAACTTACATTTCTTTTGTTAGGTGAGGTACACAACAACCATATGAAGAGCCGCCCAGATGGCAACATTGGCTTTTCTCGATGTCTTTACAGTAATAGACGTTCGCAGGACGGTCGCCCAGGTCTTTATTGCGGTGACATTTGACGCCTTCTTCGGCTAAAGGTAAAGAAACATTAGAAAGCAAAATAATAAATAAATCAATCATAAATAAATACCTCATGTAGTTTTTTTTTTTTTTTTTGATAATTTCACTCCAAATAAGTCGATAATGCCCCGAGGACGCAAGGAGTTATTGGGAGTGAAAGAGAATGAGAAGACTTTAGCGTGGAGAAACGACAATAAAGAAACATGTTTCATGAAGACAGAAGATGGCGATTAACATTGCATTTAAATTTTTGAAGAAAGGTGACAGGAAAGCAAGAAATTGTTAGCGAGTTCCACAGGCGAGAAGTGCGAAAGAAGAAACTATTGGAATAGAACATACGGTTTCATCTAGCTAGTTCAACAGTAAAACGGTGAGACCTACCTGCCAATCTAGTAGCCCGCTTAAATTCATACGTTCGAGGCACCAAGAAGGAAAGTTTATCAGAGCGATTGCCATGAAAATATTTAGAGAAGTGACAGAGGGAAGCCGCATCAAGTCGATGAGAAAGTGACAGTAGCCGAGATACGAGGAACAATATGAATATGGAAACACGAAGTGGGACACATTAAGAGAAGCTTTAGTAGCATCAGTGTTATGGAGTGATTTCACAGTGGAGGCTTGTATTCGTACTAAGTCGGTCCTAAAATAGGTTCAACGTACAAAACGTTAGGAACTTCATATAATAAGGATAACGCAGAGAAATCTAGTGGTAGTCGCTGATACTTTAGTATCCGATTAACGGTCGTCCGGCATCGACTGACTGACCAACTCACTCAGCTACTTCTCGTTACTATTCCTACTCCTACTTATCATAGGTGGGAGAGTCTGTTGACTATAGAATAGGTGTGTTCCACTATAACAATCAGCGATCGTGATCATTCCAAAGTAAAATAGACGAACAAAAAAAAATGGATAATAGATGACATGAAATTCTCGACATGATGGAAAAGAGGCAACAAACAATGACACACAGAACGAAATACAGGACGCTACACAAATAAATAAGAATAAATGCAAGCATGCTAAAGAGGAACTGCTCAACGAAAAATGTGCCGAAATAAAAAGAATGAATGTCACAAATAAAGTAGATATGCATAAAAATAAGATAACAGGACAACTGACATACTCATCAACAGGATGCATAAAATACAGGGACGGAACGCTGATATTAGAGAAAGAAATACTTCAGGGATGAAACGAATATATCAGAGAACTCTTCCACGACGAAGGAGAACACTCGGCAATACACAGAGATATTGACGGACCAGAATTATTAAAATCTGAAGTGAAAGCTGCACTTCCCAAATTGAACAGAAATAAAGCGTCGGGGCCAGACAGAATTGAAGTAGGGATGCTGGCAGCCTTAGATGATATCGACATAGACAAGACTGCAGAAATAATAAATGAAATCTACAACAGTGGTGATATACCAGAGGACCTAAGTAGATCTATTTTCATAGCACTGCCTAAGAAGCCAGGTGCAAACGAATTTGAAATCCATCAGACAATCAGCTTAATGAGCTATATAACAGAACATCTGAATTCCGTTGAATAGAGCGCGCAGCAGAATCAAACCAGAAATAGGACAAGAACAGTGTGTGTTCATCAAAGATACTGGAACATGGAACGCGATATTTATGCTCAGAATGTTATCAGAAAGAGCAGAAGGACGTGTACCTGTTTCTTTTTTGTTTTTTTTTTAGATTATGCAAAGGCGTACACCACAAAGATCTGATGGAACTGCTCAGCAACCGTGATATATTTGGGAAGGACATTAGAATAATCAAGACCCGATAATGGCAGCAAACCACCTGCATACGGATGAGCTCATCAGATATTCAAAAGCAGAAAGGGGCGTAAGACAAGGATGCATCTTCTCACAGGACTTATTCAACCTACATAGTAAGGCCATTCTAAGAGAATTAAAAGTCCCACCGGGATTCTTTACTGGCGGCTACAATCTTAAAGACATAAGATATACAGATGACAAAGTGTTGACAGAAGCCACGGAAAGAAAACAACAAAAAATCCTACAGGAGGCAGTGAAGGAAAGCGAGAAGAAAGGACTAAACATCAACTGCAAGAAAACAGAACACAGTTTTGTTAGCAGAAAGGATGAGCCCAACATTCAACTTAAAAATTGGAGAGATCAAAATCAAACAAGTACAAATATTTAAATATCTGGGAAGTGTTTTAACAGGGGACGGAAAGTGTGACACTGAAATACGAAGGCTCATTCCAAAGATGCCTTCCAAAAGCTAAGCAGAGTATTGAGAAACAGAAAAACTTTGCTTGAAACAAAGAAAAGAGTAATGAACTGTGACGTGATATTTGTCTTCCAACATGGCAATCAATACTGGACAATCTCCTGAAAGATGAAGAGATTGACGATACTATGGATCGAACATGCAACAACGAAATGTTAGAGAAAATGGAAACAAAAAGGAAACTTGTATTTAACATCAGGAAGAGACAGTTGATATTTCTAGGGCATATAATGAAGAAAGAGGGCTTGGAAAATCTGACACTCACAGGACAAACTGAAGGCAGGAGGGACAGAGGAAAACAACGCATAACATACTTAATGAACTTGAGTAAATGGATGACAGGACAGGGTTTAGGAGAAATAACAAAAAGAGAAAATATATTAAGAGCTACAAAGGAGAGGAATTTGTGGAGAGCCATGATCGCCTACGTCCTGAGGGGGATATGGCACATAAAGAAGTTTTTAGAACCTGTGCATGTTCCGACCAGTATATTTATAAACCAGTGATATTACTTGTGAGTTTAGTCTTAGGTTATCATATTCGAGTGTTGTAATTTCATTTTCCAGCAGTATATATATATATATATATATATATATATATATATATATATATATATATATATATGCGAGAAATGATCAAAAAGTATCGGGACTGGTGCTGTAAAAATAAAAATACAACAAATATCAATATCCCTTCTAAAGCCACACACTTTATCCATCATCGTTTTCATTGATGTAATCATTCCTGTAACTACTTTTTGGGAATAGCGTACAGATGCCTCGTCGCATTCTCTTGGATTGTTTCGAGATCTTGAAATGGTGTTCCATTAAAGTGGCATTTTATTTTTGAAATGGAAATGACGTAAGGAGCGAGATCTGGGGAATATATGGTAGTTGTCGGACCTGGGGAATGGGAACCCTGTGGTACCGTGAGACGACCACACTCTACACACTTTCCTTCCAAGCACTACTATAAGCGAGTGAGAACGCTATAACTTAGCATTCATGCGCAACAGAATTCAAGGTCTATCTGTGTCAAGCGACTTCATATATATATATATATATAAAGCATTACTCTTCAAGTATGAGTTGAATTCTCCCAGCCGCTGGCGTATTTCGTATAGAGAAAAACATTCAAATTCCGTTCCTTCCTGCCGTGCGATGATGGCCTAGGGGTAAGATATGTGAGGTAAGATAATCAGTCGGGTTTCGATCCCGGTTTGAGGCAATCGGACGTCTAACCACACTGAAGAGCTGTGATACAGCGAAACAGTCTGTTTGAAGATGTTTAGTGGTGGTACGACTGGTTAATATAGCATTATGGGCAGAACGTTCTGGCATTTCCCGTTTATTGTACTATCTAAATATATATATATATATATATATATATATATATATATATGGGGGTAGTGGGTTGTCATTAAGTTCTATAATTCCATATTAACAATATGACAAAATTATATATATATATATATATATATATATATATATATATTCACACTTTCTTGGCTCACCCAAAATCCCATTCTGAAATTAAATACAATTTACTCGAACCCGGGGGCTGTCTCATCACATGCGTCACCTCATCTTTGGAAGTTGGCTAGGGTTAATTCTGGCATCTGAAGTGTTCTTAAGGAGGGTCTTTGAGCACATTTTATCCCTAGTCTCATGTACCTGGGTTCACCAATGTAGTGTACAGGAGTTTGCTAATACGAAAATATGAAGTTGATAATAAAAAAATAAAGTATTTAATACTGAATACTGAGAGAGAAAGAGATATATAGATATCGGCTTGTGGAGAAAATTTTGAGCGGTTCTTAGCAATAGGCCAACTCTGTGGAATTAGGATCTTATTTTCATCTTTAACCCAAATCTAACTCGACGTAAAAGATTTGCAACGTGGTTGTGTCTACAGTTAAAAAACGTGACGTTATTACCTATCTATTTATATAAGATGCATTTAGGCAGCAAGAATTCTTTTTAAAAAGTATTGTTAAACATCTATCCAACTGTATCTGTCGATATTTCTGAGATGAGGTATTATGTACACTATTTACATTATTCAGACTATTGTCCTAATCTTTGTCGCCATGTTTATCACCATGTTTATGCCTTCTTTAGGTGGTTGGAATGTCGAACTGAACCCTTTATTTTGCTCACTGGGGTAGACTGTTCTAGTTCCACGTGCCATGTCTAATGGATGACAGTTATCTCCTGTTAATTCCCCTCAATGACACATGGCACAGTGGATAAAGGCGTCAGTTTGATCCAGTGACAGAACCCAAAGAATGTGAGTTCAATACCTGGTTAAGGCGGTTGAGATATATATATATATATATATATATATATCGTATATATATATAAAATTGTCCAAATCGTGTAACAGCAAATTTGTCCAATTGTTAGATTAACCTTTGAATTCTTGTACCTTAGAAAGAATGAATGATATCTTACTGACATTCTCTGAATATTTTTTTAAATAAAACTATTAAATTCCATTTTGAGCAAAAATAATGTATAATTACTCTTGAAGATTAACAGAAGAATCGTGATGAAATCGATCATAAACGAAAATGACATGTTCATCATTAATTAATCATCGCTAAGGCTCGAAGCCCACGAAAATTGAAATTAATATATATATATATATATATATATATATATATATATATATATATATATATAATATGAACTTAATTTCAATTTAAAATTATACAATTTTAAATAATTATCTCCCAAAACTCCTTACAATTTAAAATTTAAAATAATTATGATTTACTGATACAAGACCTATATTTCGTGTGTGTGGAGGGGGAGATGTGTATCCATGCTTTTCCCAAAGGCATTTTCTCCTGAGTGAATATAACGAACCCGACTGGAATTGGAACTCGGCTCTCCGATTTCCAGTTCCAAGCCGTTATCCATTACACCGCTTGCACATCCAAGCTTACAGCACCTGATATTCCTAAACGGTCACCCATCTAGGTACTGACCAAGCTCAACGTTGCTTAACTTCAAAAATCGTACGAGAACCAGTTCTTCAACGTAAGACCATAGAGAGAGAGAGAGAGAGAGAGAGAGAGAGAGAGAGGGTGTAATTTTATTCTATATGCTGTGTCCCTTCAGGAAGTGAGCGATTATGGCTCTCCACAACGCATTGTCCTTTGTAGCGCCAAGTAATTTTGTCCCTTTACAATCACTGGTATTGCCTTTTATTCTGTCTATTTACACAAACTCGTTAGGTTGGTTACTCATTGCTTTCCACTGCATCTCTTGCTTCTAATATATCCTGTGAGTGTAACATTTTCCAAGCCTCTTTCCTTATTATGTTTTCCAGCTATTTCAGTTGTCTCTTTCTCATTCTAAGAACAAGTGCCCCCTTTCTCGCTATTTTCTTGAAATATCCCATGTTATTCACATGTTTCACACATGGTATTCTGAAGTTCCTTATGTAGAATTACATTTCTGTTGCCTCAAGTCTCCTCGTCATACGCGAGGAAATTGTCCAGCATTCACTGCCACATATAGGAAGACTGATATTATATAGCAGTCCAAATCTCTCATCCATGTTAAGCTTTAGGAAGACATCATTTCCTTGTTTAACTTTTAGAAGGCATTTTTACCTTGTTAAGCTTTTAGGTGGAATCTTTTTCTTGCTATCTTTTGGAAGACATTTTTTGCTTGCTTAGATTTTTGAAGTCATCTTTCGCAATTCCAATGAATATTCTATAATATATCAACTTTTGTATTTATATAATAATTTGTGTTTTTCCATGTCGACTTTTGGTTTGATATATAATCGACATGGAAAAACACAAAATATTATACAAATACAAAAACAATATTAATATCAAACCATTCTTTTAAAAATCAAATTTTCTTTTATTAAAACGCATTGAAGAAAAAGTTATCACACGAAGAAGATATCGAATACTCAGAACAACCCAATTTTCCATTTTTTATAATGGTCTAGGTTGTTTTTTTAATACACGCTTTTTTATGGGCCCGTGGCCGAGTGATTAGAACGTTTGCTTTCTGACCATAATCTAAAAGGTGTTTTTTACAATCGAATAGACTTATGTAAAAGAAACAAACCATGCATTACTTTTCCTCGATATTATATTAAATTGTACTGATAATGACCTAAAAGTAAATGTCTATTGCGAATCTACTAATAAAAATGGTCTGATAAACTTCTATTCACACCATAGTAACAAAATAAAATCCTAAATAATTATCGGCTTCTATTTAAGAGCGTGTAGTGTTTGTGAAGAAAAAAAAATTAAAAATCAGTATTAATTAAGATTTGGCAATATGAACAAATTAGACAGAATCAAATTATACCTGACACATTATTAAAACATAGTCTATTAATTAATAAATTTTATAAGAGTAGAGTAGGTTCGTCTATCGTCCGGTTCACACGCCTCCCCAGTTTTTTGAAGAGAAATTTAGGCTTATCTCTTGTTTTCTGTTTAGGATTGGGTTTATAATTCCTTCTAAAGTTTTCTCATTCTCTTTCACTCCCAGTAGCCCCTTGCGTCTTAGTGACATTATCGCCTTGCTTGATTTAAAGAACTCTTATTATTGAAAATTATTAATAAGATACGGTATTCCTAATGAATGGATACCAACTTAAAAAATTATGTTGAGAAAGATAAAATTTACACACCATTTAGAACATATTCCAAATTATTAATCTGCAAAGTTTGTTTCAGCTGTTAAGCATATAATGATATTGGACATTTTATAGACTTCAAGTAACCCATTTTGATTGTGTATTTTTGTTATGGTGGAACACACCTATTCTATAGTTAATAGACTCTCCCACCTATAATAAGTAGGAGTAGTAAGAGTAACGAGTCAGACAGTCGATGTCGGACGACAGTTAGTCGGATACGAAAGTATCAGCGACCACAACTAGATTACTCTGCGTAATACCTATTATATCAAGTTTCTAACGTTTTGTACGTCAAACCTATTTTAGGACCGACTTAGTACAAATACAAGCCTCCACTGCAAGATTACTCCACAACAATTTTTCAGTTAAATATTCGCGTTTTGCGTCTTCTATTACATTCAGACATCGAGTATAAATAAAAAGACAGTCCGCATGAGAGTCTGAGCAGCAGTGAGTATTACAGTCTGAGTTGAAGTCAGTAAGAACTCTTCCGGTATCTGGTCAATTTCCTGTTATACAAAAACTGTTATCATACGAGGAAAATGAACTAAAATAGAAACATCTTTTGTAAAACACCTCAAAGATTTCTGGGATATAAAAATTTTAGAATCTTTAGCGCTCAATATTTACTTGATGAAAATAAATATATTGAGATTACATTTAAATATATTGAAAATTCTTTTAAATATATTCCCCAATATCTTAATCATTTCATATTTAATGCAAAGAGGAAAGCCCATCAAATTTATGAAAATAGAAAAAGGAGAAATAATATAAATTATCCTAATAAAACTAGACAATAAAATACCAACCCATTGAATAAAGACTACAATTGAAAATAATTTATCTAAACTGTATTAAATTTATCACAACTACTTCTAAAAAAATAAAATTTAATTGATAAAGAAAGAAAATAAAAACTTAAAACCTGAAGCATAAAAACATCACAAGACATACATAGGTGATACGTCTAGAAATTTAAACAAAAGTATACAGGATGCGATGGGTAAAATGAAAAGACTACTCGCAATACATTAGACATTCATCGTAATGAACCTGGTCATAATTTCGACATGAACAATACAGTTCATTAAAAGAGAAAGCAATTTAATGGGAAGTGCAATGTATAGAAAATGTACTAAATTCTACGCCTTTCACGATAATTTTACATCCAAGTTCATAACACATTTCACCTTTTTTTTAAAAAAAATAAATGAATCTACTGCTGCCACAATGTGTGAAATTTAAAAACATCATCAATAAAAAAACAAAAACAAAATTATTGGGAATGTGAATAAAGTCGGCTAAGGTGTACGGCTAGACACAATGGATGCCAGAAATGTAAAGATTAACAAACAAATAGAAAAATAGAGCGAACGTTTTACATATCATATTTTCATCTCCCCCTCCCTCTGTAATTCCATTATTAGGAATATTATTATAGTTTTGAGGATATCCTTTAGAATGACGAAACGTGTTGCATAGATTTTTCTTTTTTGCTATTGACTTACCGATATATATATATATTTCCGATTGAGTTAACGATATATATATATATATATATATATATATATATATATATATATATATATATATATATATATATATTGTCTGATGGTCCAGGGTACTTTTAAAAGGTCTCTGGTGAAATAAACTACTATAATGGAGCCTTAAAGTAGTCTTTTACATTTTAGATGTGCTTAGTAATGTAAAACATAATAAGTTTGCAAATTTGGTCACTCTCTCTCTCTCTCTCTCTCTCTATATATATATATATATATATATATATACAAATAAAAGTGGCCCAAGTTGCAAACTAAGTATGTTTTTACATTTTAGATGTGCTTAGTAGAATCGTAAAACCGGAACTAATAGGACTGTATCGAGATGACGGACCATGCTCATCAGTAATATATATATATATATATATATATATATATATATATATATATATAGGTTGTCCCAAAAGTTCATAAACACTTGCGAAAATTTTTTTTTTTATGCAAGTTTTAATTTTTTTTTTAATTTATTGTTAATTTTGAAAAAAATTTATTTCATTAGAATTTTTATTTAATTGTTTTTTGCGTTTATATTGTTATAGTGATCTTCATCTTTGTATTCCAGATGGCAATTGATAAAATTGAGCTGCGAGTTTTGATTCGTTACTGCTGGAAGTGAGGTCTTTCAACCAGAAAAGCTGCAGAACAGATTTGTGCTGCCGAAGGTGAAGGAACAATTGCATATGCGGCGATCTCAAAGTGGTATAAGCGTTTCGATTCTGGCGACATGAGTCTTGAAGATAAGCCTCGTTTGGGACGGCCGTTAAATTTGGATGATGGAGACTTGCAAACCGGGTTGGACATTGCGCCTTCATCGAGCACTCGAGAATTGGCTGATGAGCTTGGAGTTGGCAAATCGACAATTCAACGACACTTGAAGCAACTTAATTTTGTTCACAAAAAGCCGTGTCAAGATCCGCACGAACTCACCGAAGCACAAGCCAACAGACGAGTTGAAATTTGCCGTCAATTGCTCAGCAATCCATTGGACGAGCGTTTTTGGAAGCGCATTGTGACATCGGACGAGAAATGGGTCTATCTGATCCAGCACAATCGAGACAAGCGATGGGTTCAGAAAGGACAAGAGACACTGTCGGTTCCAAAACAAGATCGATTCGGCAAGAAAGTCATGTGCGTTTGGCGGAATTTGAAGGAATCGTGCATTTTGAGTTGGTTCCGAATGGTCGTGCCATCAGTGTCGAACTTTACTGTCAGCAACTGGAGCGGGTCTACGAAAAGTTGAAGCAAAAGTACCCGGCTCTGATCAACCGAAAGCGCGCTTTGATGCAGCAGGACAATGCCAAGCCACACACCGCCAGGAAGACCAAAGACAAGTTTGAAGAGCTGGACGGCGTTGAGGTTCTGCTACATCCAGTCTACAGTCCTGACTGTGCTCCATCAGATTACGGCCTTTTCCGCTCAATGCAACACTTTCTGAAGGGCCGCCGTAACGACTCGTTTGATGAAGTCGAGGAATCGTGTCAAGAATTCTTTGATTCGAAGCCGGCTGAATGGTACTTTCACCAGATCCAAAAGCTTGCAGATCGATGGCAGAAAGTCTTGGAAAATGATGGTCTTTATTTTGAGGAATAATTTTTGTTGTTTTTGTTATTACTTGGCGAGTAAAATTTCAATTTTTTGCAAGTGTTTATGAACTTTTGGGACAACCTAATATATATTGTCATAGTGAGGAATAATCAGGAACAAGGGTGTTGGAAAGATAAAGAAAAAGAAATGTGATACAAATGATTTCGGCTAGATTGATAAAAAAACTCTTTCAAAAATATTCTTTCAAAAATTTTGAA